AAAAGAGAGAAAGAAAAAGGGAAGGAGGGAAGGAAGGAAGGAAGGAACAGGAGGGAGAAAGAAAGAAAAGGAAGAGAAGAAGAAAGAAAGAAAAAAGGAGGGACGGAGGACATCCTTCCCCCGCTGTCAATTTTGCTTGTCCTAAAACCACTGGCTTTTTCACACACACACACACACACACCCTGCCACCACCACCACCACCCATTTAATGTCAACTTGGTTTGTGCAGTTAAAAAAAAAGGCACCTGGGGACATTTCTTTTCTCCAAGAGTATAATTTGCTAGAGTCCAGCACGGTTACAGAAGCAGCCAAGCCAATTCTGATATTTTCACCCGCAAATAGCGTCGTTCCCTTTCCCTTTCCCCCCACCCCCCCCGGGGCCTTCCTGCCTGCTATTCTTTACTGTCCAGTTCAGCTGCATTCATTTTGCTTGGGGAAACGCCCCCTTCGTCTCGCAGGCCTTGGGAGGCTGGCATTGTCTCGGGGTCCGACTGTTCTTTGCATCCCTTCACACGCACACGCACACATACACACCCCTGCGTTCCTCCCGATTGCCTCCCACCGTTGCTGTGGTCAGGCTTCGACGAAGCGAGCCGAATTGCAGCCACGACACCCCGGGTCCCTTTTTTTTCCTTTAATCCCCGGCGGAGGGGCCACGACTTTAGCGAGGAGAGGAGCGGCTGCGTTCTCTGCGTCCCCTTCCGACGTTCCCCCTCCCGTGTACCCCTCAGATTGCGCTGGAGGCGGCCAAAGCTCTGGACGACAAGAACTGCTGGGAGAAGCTGGGAGAGGTGGCTCTGCTGCAAGGGAACCACCAGATCGTGGAGATGTGCTACCAGCGCACCAAGAACTTCGACAAGCTCTCCTTCCTCTACCTGATCACGGGCAACCTGGAAAAGTTGCGCAAGATGATGAGGATCGGTGAGTTTCGGGGTCCCTCAGGTGCAGGGTCCGCTTTTCAGGTCACGGAAGGCCACTTTGCACGGTCAGCTGCGTCTCCGGGGTGCAGGCCCACGGCTCGCCTGTCTTGCTTTTTTTATTAGACAAACACAAAAACAGAAGGGAACGTTAAAAAAGCATTGAACATGGTACAGTCCTGCTGACCCACATAAGTTGTCTTACGTTGCTAAATCGCATATAAAAATAGTGCATATTTACATTCTATATACATAGTAGATACATTTAATCATTTCTTATTATCTTGATCCTTTCTCTTTTCTAACCCACCATAAAACTTATCCCATACTTTGTAATAATCCGATTCTTCCTTATTTTTTAATTCTTTTTGTCAATTTGTCCATTTCTGCACACCTCCAAATTTTCCTAATGATTTCTATTTTCACTTGGAGTTTCCTTACATTTCCACTGCTTGTGCGTAAGCCAATCTCGCAGCTGTGATGATATGAATTATTAAATATATAATATCCTTCTCATATTTTCCCACATTAATTCCTAACCAAAAAATAATAATTCAGGTCTGTATTCTATTTTGATCATACCTATTTCTTCTAACCATTTCTGAATTTTAGTGCCAGAACTTTTGGGCTTGTGTAAATCTTACATATCTTTGTTCGATGGTGTCTTCCCATCTCTGTTTTGGATGCCCATGAGGTCGCTGGCCATTGACTCCTAGTTGGTAGGCTGTCTTGTCCACAGTGGGAGGTGCTGCTCTCAGCTCATGGCCAAACCAGCGGAGTTGGCCTCCTCTCATCTTCTCTGCAAGTGGTGCCACACCAAAATGTTGTCGAATGGTGTCATTTGTGATGTGGCCAAGAAGGGAGGTGCCCGATATCCAATGGAGCCTTTTCATTTCCATGGCATGGGGAGAGCTTTCGGTCCCAGTTGCTGCTGTCCAGCCTTCAGTGCCATATGGTGCAACAGGGGGGAAGGTTGTCTTGTAAAGCTTAGATTTAAGACACGTTGGCATTTGTCCCATAACACACCGGGGAGTTTTCCCAAATGCATCCAGGCTGCATTCACCCTTCCTCACACCTCGCCATTGAGGTCACCATGGCCTTGGATCCCAGATACTGGATCCCAGCCCCTCCCACTGGCCATGCGGGCTGGAAATTGGGAGGCGGGGAGGTTTAGTTTCATGGGGGTTATAATGCAATGTTTTTCAACCTTGGCTAATCAAAGATGGGTGGACTTCAACTCCCAGAATCCCCCTGCCAGCGCATTTTGAGAGTTGAGAATGCTGGGCGTTGAAGTCCATCCATCTTCAAGTGGCCAAGGTTGAGAAAGACTGTATAATGCCCGGCTGTAATGGGCCACGCTAGCCACCAAACTGGCTGCCTCTTCAGAACCTGGACCACTTTAGGAGATGCCACCCTACGCAGTAATTTCTCGGCATTTTGTGCTGCCTCTGTTGAGGTAGGCCAACGGTCAAGAGCATGGAGGGCTCTGGGAAGTGGACAGCAGTCCTGACCCTGTTTCTCCTCGCAGCTGAGATCCGGAAGGACATGAGCGGCCACTACCAGAACGCCCTCTACCTGGGCGACATTGCCGAAAGGGTGAGGATCCTGAAGAACTGTGGGCAGAGTAAGTAAGCCAGCAGCCCTGGTTGGGCTCCTCACCCCAAGTGACTCCCAGGCGACCCACCCGTGCCCTCCCGCTGACACTCTCCCCTCACCTGCCTCTTCTCTCACCTGGCTCCCCCCCCCCCCCCCCCCCTCCCCACCTCCTTCTCCCCCCCTCCCCCCCCCGGCAGGGGGGGGGAGGGGGGGCCCGGGGGGGGGCCCTTTCCCCCGGGGGGGGGGGGGGGGGGGGGGGGGGGGGGGGGGCGAGGGTTGGGGAAGCAGGAAGGGGCTGCTGCTCCTGCCCCAGAAGACCTCCAGGCAGGTTGCAGCTGAGGAGGGAGGGGGTTGTGGTCCGCTGGCAGCCTGTGCAGACGGTATAGCGGAATCGGACAGTGGGGAGGGACATGAGCCAGTCCGGGAGTCTGGGGAGGACTCGGACGAGGGTCCTGCATCCAAGGCAGCGATGGGGCCAGGACCATATGGGAGGTATGTGCTGACTCCAGAGCCTCCAGAGTCTGGCAGCAGCGGGGCAGAGGAACAAGGGGAGCCTGTTCCCAGTGCACATGTGCGCAGAGCTGCTTGAAGGCAAGAGCAGCTGAGACAAAAGGGGCGACTCAGGAGTAAGGCTTGAAGGTGATTGGCCCCTCCCATAAGGTATAAAGGAAGTGCAAAGGTAGAGAAACCTTTGCAGGAAGCAAAGTCGTTTGCTCTGTTCAGATTAATCCTTGAAGCTCTGTGTGGACTTTGTACTTCAGTTGGTTTTTTTACAGTTAATTTGGCACTTTAGTTGTTGGCAGCCATTCAAAGGAGATAAAGGTGGGTGCTTATCTCGAGGAACTGTTTGGGACTCATTACGGGCTGGGAATGAAAATAATTCCCAGCGTTGAAATAAAACAAGAGTTGTTTGGAGTAAGCATGTGCTTAATTACGGACTCAGGAAGCCTTAGTCAGAACAGTGATTTCTTCTGGGAGAAAAACCTCTCTGTGGCTTTCTTAGCTCCGTGCGAAGGACTTTCTCAAGCAGCTCCTTCCAGGCAGTCCTTGACTTACAACCGCTCGCTTAGTGACTGTTGTTTGAAGTTACAAAACGGCAAGGAAAACAGCGACTGAAGACTCTTTTTCACACCTATGACCGTCGCAGCACCTCCATGGTCATGTGATCAAAATTTGGACGCTTGGCTACTGACTCATTGTTTATGGCGGTCGTGGAGTCCCCGGGGTCACCCCATCCCCTTTTGGTGACCGTCTGGCACGCCAAGCCAGCGGGGGAAGCCACTCAAAGTCTGTGTTACTAATTTGACAATGGCTGCGATTCACTTAACGACTGCAGCAAAACAAAAGAGTCACAAAATGGGGGGGCAAAGCTCGCTTAACGCATGTCTCACTTAGCAACATCAATTTAGCAACATCAATTGTGGTCATAAATTGCAGGCCACCTGTACTTATTTATTTATGGGGAGGAAGAAAGTGCTGGAACTGTTTGTACCACCTTGAGTTACTTGCACAAAGGATAATAGAATTCTTTATTGGCCAAGTGTGATTGTACACACAAGGAATTTGTCTGGGTGCAAATGCTCTCAGTGTACATAAAAGAAAAGAGACATCCGTCAAGAATCATCAGGTGCAACACTTAATGATAGTCATAGGGGACAATAAGCAATCAAATCATACTAGGAAACAGTTTAAAGAATGGAATGGAATGGAATGGAATTGAATAGAATAAGGAATAGAACAGAAAAGAAAAGAAAATAGATAAAGAATAGAATAGAATAGAATAGAATAGAATAGAATAGAATAGAATAGAATA